GCCGCTCCATCGGCTGGCGGGGACGAGCCCGGATGCCGAGGCCGGCGGGCTGGTCCTGCGGAAGCGGAGCGCCGCCGCCGAGCAGCACGTCTTCAAGGCACCGGCCCCACGGGCGTCCTTGCTGGGCCTGGATTTGTTAGCGGCCCAGAAGCGGCGGGAACGCGAGGAGGAGGCGTCCGGTGGAAAGCGGTCCCGGGTCTCCTCTTACAAGGATTGGGAAGAGGGCCATGACGAGGCAGGCAGCCCTGAGGAGGAGGATGAGGAGGAGATCGATCGGAGCAGCCGGAGCACTCGCAAGGACAGGTGGGGTCTGTGTGGGGGTTCCAGTGCTGGCACAGGGCACTTCGCAGCCATTGGGTCCCTACCAGGGGAAATGAGTGTGAGCATGGGGTATGAGCGCTGTCAGTGTCTGTGGGGGCTGCACCCTGTAACAGGCAGGGCTGTAACCTCCTGTGTGGTGGGGAGATCTGGAGATCTCGGAGGAGGAGGACCATGGGGCACCTCTGTAGATCTGAGTAGGTCTGGGAAAAGCTCTTTTACTGGTGCACTCCCTGAGGCATTATGGGTAGGGGTGCATTTAGATGCTGTTAGGCCTGCAGGCACAAGCCATCCTAATCGTGACACTGTCTGCTTCCTGATGCCTGGCAGCAGTGGCCTGCTCAGAAGTGCATGTGTCTGAGAGCATCAGCAGACTTGGTGGGCTGTTAGCAAAGGTTGGAGAAAGCACTTTTAACCATAAAGTTCTGCTTCTAAAACTAGAACTTCTAGTTCTAAAAATAGAGTTGTATGAGACAAGTGAAAGGCCAGCTATTTCTCAGCACTTTTGAGTTTTTCTCATCTCTGCTCTGTTTTTCCAGGCATTACCGTTCTGTCCACGTGGAAACACCTTCCTACACAGGGGGTGTCAGCGAGGAGTTTTGGGAACGCAGCCGGCAGCGGGAAAGGGAGCGTCGGGAACATGGTGTCTTTGCCTCCTCCAAGGAGGAGAAGGAACGAAAGAAGGAACGCAGTAGGGATCGGGACCATGATCGCAAACGGGACCGTGGTAACTGCTCAAAGACCTTTGTGACTCTTCCTGCTTAGGGTTTGGGCTTGTTCATCAGCCTGTTTGTAGTCTTTAGCTAACGTTCATGGTGTTTTCTGAAGCAGATTTGGGAAGCCTCTTTGTGCACTGAGCACCTGATCTTACTTTCTTTTTGCAGAGGAGCGGGATAGAAGTCGTCACAGCAGCAGATCAGAAAGAGATGGCTCATCGGAGCGGAGCAGCAGGAGGAGCGAACCGGAGAGTCCCAGACATCGGCCTAAAGGTAGGAGTGGGACCTGGTAGAGTTCTTGTGTGAGATCTAGCAGGAAGGGGTTTGTTCTTTTTTTTTTTTTGTTTTCTGCTGGTTTTGTCAGGACAAGTGTGGGTAGAAAAGCCCGTACCTTTTAATGTTTGTGGTTAGGGTAAGCATAAAACTCATAGTTCGATGTGGGTCTAAGAGCAATCTGGGAGCAGTCTGTCAGCTCTGTGTGTGTAAAAATCTGGCTGATCTCTGCACAGTGGGGTCTGTTCTGGATCTGTGTGATAGAAATGTGGTCCTTTTGCAATTTTCCTTGGAATCGCTGGGTCAGCTCCTTAGAGGGAGGGCATGTTTCTTGCTAGAAGATGTAAGGGGGCTCCAGGTGCCTGGGGTCACTGTTTGAACATCAGTTGTCAAACCCCATCTCCTCTGCTAGATGCAGCCACGCCGTCTCGCTCCAGCTGGGAGGAAGATGATAGTGGCTACAGCAGTGCCCGCCGCTCACAGTGGGAATCTCCCTCACCCACACCATCATATCGAGACTCAGAGCGTAGCCACCGGTCATCATCACTGCGGGACACGGACCGGAGAGACCGGGACAGGTATCAGTGCCTGGGACTACAGCTATGAGCGTTGGGCTGCAGAAAGGGGAGGGCGTGTGTAAGAGTTGTGCCTGGCTGTGGGCACCAATTCCTCCCTCATGCTGTTTTTTCAGGTCTGTGAGGAGCAGGTACTCGGATAAGACGCCATTGCCCACCCCGTCATACAAATACAATGAGTGGGCTGATGACCGGAGACACCTGGGGGCCACGCCACGGCTGTCCAGAGGGAGAGGTGAGGAGCTTGGGCTGAGCTGCCTAGGCTGGGCAGTGGGGCAATCCCCTTGCCCTTCAAAGTGCAACGTCGGGCTCTAGGATTTCCTCTGGAACGGCCGCACTGACTAGCTCACCTTCTCCAGGGCGGCATGCAGACGGGGAGGAGGGCATTGCCTTTGAGACGGAGGAGGAGCGGCAGCAGTGGGAAGATGATCAGCGGGTGAGAGTCCGAAGGCGGGCGAGGAGTGGGATGCCCAGCAGATGGTGGGCTCAGGGCGACTGGGCTGGGCGGCCAGGCCGTGAGCGGCGGGAGGGCTCGGCCCACGGAGCTCAGAGCCGCACCTTTTCCCTCCCAGCAAGCTGACCGGGACTGGTACATGATGGATGAGGGCTATGATGAGTTTCACAACCCCTTGGCCTACTCCTCTGAGGAGTACGTGAAGAAGCGGGAGCAGCACTTGCACAAGCAGAGGCAGAAGCGCATCTCGGCACAGCGGCGGCAGATCAATGAGGTAGGGGCAAGATGTGGGGTCAGCTGCTCTGAACATGTGGGCCCTGCTTGTTTTGCTGCCCCTTGAGAGACTCACTTGCTGGCAGCGAAGGCTGAGCCCTTGTTCTCAGATGGAGAAGGACAGTGTGTCCTGACCCAGGCTGAATGAGGGCTCACAACGAAACTGTTAAGTTCCCCTGGAAAGTGCAGCCCTGCATGGGGCAGAATTCGCAATCAGAGTGACTGCAGTGGATCACAGTGTCCAGGGCAGCAGAAATGCAGAGCGCTATGCTCCTCCTATCCTGGGGTGTGAGTTATATTACTGGCGTTGTCTGCTGTTGGACCAGTGGACGCTGGGGGCTGCTCCCCTCAGCACGTGAGCAGGATTATGTCCAGGCTTCCTGGTGTATTCTAAGTATGGCAGGGGCCTTGTTGACAATGTCTGTCCTGCAGTTACTTGGAGACAGTCCTGTTGGCCATGTGCTTCCTGTGGCCACTTTGTGTTTCCTGTATCCTGCTGCTTCCAGTTACTGTTTGTCCCTTAGTACTTACTTTCAGGGTCCCTAGGCTGGAACCATCAGTTTCATCCTGTTGGCAGTGCCTGGCCCAGACCTAAGCTCAGTGTTCTGGTCTGATCTCTTGGGCTTTCTGTGGGGCTTCTGTGTGTTTTCTGATAGGTTGTTTCCTGCAGGATAATGAGCGCTGGGAGACGAATCGCATGCTGACCAGTGGTGTGGTTCATCGGATTGAAGTGGACGAAGATTTTGAGGAGGATAACTCTGCTAAAGTGCACCTGTTGGTGCACAATCTAGTGCCCCCTTTCCTAGATGGAAGAATTGTCTTCACCAAGCAGGTAGGGACTGTGGCTGAAGGCGCTGATGGCAGGGAGCCCCGCAAGTGTGAGCTCTCTGTACTGAAGCAATACCTCTTTCCTCTAGCCAGAGCCAGTCATCCCTGTCAAGGATGCCACCTCAGATTTGGCCATCATAGCCCGGAAAGGCAGCCAATTGGTGCGCAAGCACAGGGAGCAAAAGGAGCGTAAAAGGGTATGCTGTGACCTTTTGGCCTACTACCCCACTGTACACATGCTATGTAGTGTCTCATAGCCTTTGTTTGGACTTTGCAGAATACAGGCTTTGGCAGCAATGACAATAAGGAGTTCATTTTTTTGTGACGTGATATATCTTGGCAGCCCAGCTCATTGCATTGTCTCATAAGCAGCTGCTGTGATGTGATTTCCTCAGGTGCCGCCTGGGACATGAATCACTGTGCACTTGTGCAGAGGAGTCTGATCCAAAGGACGTTGGGATCATGGGAGAAGAGAGCAGGTGGAAGAATGCAAGGTAGCTTAGGGACAGTCGGCAGTCAGTATGGCAGCAAGATGTATCTTGTCTCAGTAGAAGAGCTGAGAGGAGGTATGCATTAAGGTAGCATATTAGTTTTTGGAGTTGATTTCTAGGGACTTTTTCTAAAGCTTATGCGATAGCTGTGGGGAAAGCACAGATGTGTTGCTTGTAAATTGAAACTGAGTTGGATTTGTGCTGTGTATACTACGAGCAGAATGGAGGTGGAAGTTAAACTGATATCAGAGGCAAGAGCAAATAGCAAGGTGGGAGAGAGGCCTGTGAGCACCTTTCAAGAGCTGGAAGATTATCTCTCGTTCAGATTTGTGTAGGTTTAAGTTCAGATTTAATGGAAAGGTCAGCAGCTGGAACCATTTTCCTAGGAGGTGGTTGGTCATCCTGTGCCTGAAGTTTCTGTATCCAGACAAGTGTCTAAAAGCTCTGCTCCAGTTCACTTGGAGAGTGGGACTTGGTGTAGGAATGGGGTGTGTGGCATTGTAGCGTTGGCAAATTGTGGGGCTAATATTCTTTCCTAGTTTTATGAGTAGGATTGGAGAAGAATGATTTGTCAGTGCTTGCTGTGGCAAAGTTATGCTGCTCTCTGTCCTTCCAGGCTCAGCATAAGCACTGGGAGCTGGCAGGCACAAAACTGGGAGACATTATGGGGATCAAGAAAGAAGAGGAGAAGGATGAGATGGTGACAGAAGATGGCAAAGTGGATTACAAGTAGGAGCTTGCTTTGTATTACTCCTGCTTAGCCAGTGATGGGGGCTGTAGGCATAGCAAAGCGCATGGAGAGGTAGTTTCAGGACTTCTGGTGTTTCCTTAGGACTGAGCAGAAGTTTGCTGAACACATGAAGGAAAAAAGTGAAGCCAGCAGTGAGTTCGCCAAGAAAAAATCAATCCTGGAGCAGCGACAGTATCTGCCCATCTTTGCTGTGCAGCAGGAGCTGCTCTCCATCCTCAGGTATGGCTGCTAGGGAGCTGGTTGTTGAGCATCCCCGGGGCATTGGCTTACATCTCAGGAGCCCAAGTGAGAAATTCTCCTAGATCCATGGCCTGTTTGGAAGCTGTACCCTCATGAAGCAAAGCCCATTGCTTTGTGTGGTTGGTGGCAGCTCTCCTGCCTGAGTAGGGTGACACTTGTGTGGCCAGCCAGGGCTGTGAATGCAAAAGCCCTTCTTTGTGGTGTATGAAGGAATACTTTTTCCCTTTCTTCAGAGACAACAGCATCGTAATTGTGGTGGGGGAGACAGGGAGTGGGAAGACGACACAGTTGACACAGTACCTCCATGAAGATGGCTACACAGACTATGGCATGATTGGCTGCACCCAGCCCCGCAGAGTGGCGGCCATGTCAGTTGCCAAGCGGGTCAGTGAAGAGATGGGGGTGCGCCTGGGAGAGGAGGTGAGTCTGGCAGTGGGTGCAGGGGTGAAGCCTGATGACAGTGAGTGCATGGGGCTGTTGGAAGACTTACTGGTATCTCTGTCCTCCCAGGTGGGCTATGCCATCCGCTTTGAGGACTGCACGTCTGAGAAAACGGTGATCAAATACATGACAGATGGGATCCTTCTTCGTGAGTCACTGCGAGAGGCTGACCTGGACAACTACAGTGCTATCATCATGGATGAGGCACATGAGCGCTCACTCAATACTGACGTGCTCTTTGGCCTGCTTCGGGAGGTATGTGTGAGCTTCGACTAGTGGAGAGCAGCACAGGGCACGTGAGCTGGTATTAAAGCAGAGTATTGGCAGGGACAGCTCTTCTTTACTAGGTCTGGGAGAGGGAAGCAGAGCAGCCACATCTCTGCACTTCCTGCTCCAACATCCTGGTCTCTGGTTCTGGGGCATTAAATCTCTCCTAGTGCCTAAATGCTGCCAGAGGCTTGCTGGCTAACTCTCAGGAAGTCTAGATACAGAGATCTTTGCTGGCTTAAGGTTTCCTGGACTGAGGTTGGCGTGTCTTTTTAACTGCACAGATGTCTGTGTTCCCTGGCATTAGTGGCCAGTGCCTCTTAGAGTACAGCAGAAGTTTTGTCCTGTGCTGTTGTCTCCGCAGCCTGCAGCCATGCAGAAATACCCCTTCCTTATTGTTCCTTTCATCTGTTTTTTTAGGTGGTGGCCCGACGCTCAGATCTGAAGCTTGTTGTCACCTCGGCCACCATGGATGCAGATAAGTTTGCCTCCTTCTTTGGGAACGTTCCTATTTTCCACATTCCTGGACGCACTTTCCCTGTTGATATTCTTTTCAGCAAGGTATGGTCAACATTGCAGAGGGAAGTTCTGTTGTGACGGGAGGGGGTTCTGACTTGGGTGTACAGTACTCTGTGGTGGACAGGAAGGATTAAGGAGGAGTAGCCATGCTACGATATGATAGAGTCTTGCACACAGGACAGGGCAGGTGAGATTATTGGCATCTGTAACCTGAGCTGTGCCTTTCAGACCCCACAAGAGGATTATGTGGAGGCTGCAGTGAAACAAGCCCTGCAGGTCCATTTGTCTGGTGCTCCTGGGGACATCCTTGTCTTCATGCCTGGACAGGAAGACATAGAGGTGAGCTGGAAGGGCAGGCACTGTCCTACCCCCTTGTTATTTTAATCTTAAGTTTACACCCCTCTTTGTGTCTAGGTGACCTCGGAGCAAATTGTGGAGCACCTTGAGGAGCTGGAGAAGGCGCCTGCTCTTGCTGTACTGCCTATCTATTCTCAGCTACCGTCAGACTTGCAGGCCAAGATCTTCCAGAAGGTGCTGATGTGTGCTCTGTGATAGGAGTGGGGACAGGGGAAAATAGCGCAGGGAAAACTATTGAGCATGAGTAAGAAGTTCAGATGTGCCTTTTGCATTGCATGTGGAGGGTGAGAGAAAGCGTGTGTCCCCCTCAGCTTCCCAAGAGTCACCCCTTTCCTTCTGGGTTCTGTGTTGCTGCTATGTGCTCTTCCTCAGTGGTGCAGGGATTTGACTGATGTGCAGTATGCTTGCAGGCTCCGGATGGGGTTAGGAAGTGCATTGTTGCCACTAACATAGCAGAGACCTCACTGACAGTGGACGGCATCATGTTTGTGATTGACTCTGGCTACTGCAAGTTGAAGGTAAGCCAAGAATTCCCACACTGTTACATCTGTGATCTCTGGGGTTGGATTGAGGGAGTTCTGTGGTAGTGACCCAGACTCCCTTTTACTTCAGTCTGTTCTTCTCATGCCCTACAGGTTTTCAACCCCCGTATAGGCATGGATGCGCTGCAGATCTACCCCATCAGTCAAGCCAATGCCAATCAGAGGGCAGGCCGAGCTGGCCGAACAGGCCCAGGCCACTGCTTCAGGTAGGCATGTCACTGGTGTTCCTGTTGTATCTGCAGCTCGGCATCAGGTTATATATATTTTTTTCTCACTGGAGCTGTTCATTCTCTTGAACTTCTTGGGGGGATGAAGGCAGTAGGCAGGCCTTGAGGCCCTCTCTTTTGGAGCCAGTTCCTCTGCAGAGGAAAGGATATGCTCCAGTTTCTTCCCTTGCCCATCTTCACTCGTGGCTGTTCTGTCCTTGATACTGTCAGGATAACAGCCAAGCCAAAGGCAGCTTTCTCAAGGCTTTGCTTTGAGACTGGTCTGTGCCCAGGGAAGAACTGTGCCTGAGAGGGGTCCCTGGAGCCCAGGTACTCTTATGTGCTGGGGACGTCACACTTTGGCCAGGGTAGAGGTTCCTCCCTAGCGTCCCACTGAGTCACCTGGCTGAGTGCAGAGTTGCTGCCCCATGCCATGCCTGGCATGCTCTTGGCATCTGTTCCCCAGGCTCTACACCCAGAGTGCCTACAAGAATGAGCTGCTGACAACCACGGTGCCCGAGATCCAGCGCACCAACCTTGCCAACGTAGTGCTTTTGCTGAAGTCCCTGGGTGTGCAGGACCTGCTGCAGTTCCACTTCATGGATCCACCCCCTGAAGACAACATGCTGAACTCCATGTACCAGCTGTGGATCCTGGGGGCCTTGGATAACACAGGTATCGGCCGACGGGGTAAGCTCTCAGCCCGTGGGACTGAGACCTGCCCAGCTGCTGATCCCTATGCTGTTCCTACAGGTGGTCTGACCTCAACAGGACGTCTCATGGTGGAGTTCCCACTGGATCCTGCACTCTCCAAAATGCTCATTGTCTCCTGTGACATGGGTTGCAGCTCTGAGATCTTGCTCATCGTCTCCATGTTGTCTGTGCCTGCCATCTTTTATCGTCCTAAGGTACCTGTTTGCTCTTTCAGCAGTTTGGGGCCTTCCCCTGACCTTTGACTAATCCGTGTTCTTTGCTTACCCTTCAGGGCCGAGAGGAAGAGAGTGACCAAGTGCGGGAGAAATTTGCTGTTCCAGAGAGTGATCACTTGACTTATCTGAATGTTTACCTGCAGTGGAAGAACAACAGCTATTCTACACTGTGGTGCAACCAGCACTTCATCCATGCCAAGGCCATGCGGAAGGTGAGGCTGTGGCAATGAGGTTGGGGGTGGGAGCCTTACACAGGAGAAGGATCTGACTGCCACACACCTTTGCAGGTGCGGGAGGTGCGTGCCCAGCTCAAGGACATTATGGTGCAGCAGCGGATGAGCTTAGCGTCCTGTGGTACCGACTGGGATGTTGTCAGGAAGTGCATTTGTGCTGCCTATTTCCATCAAGCTGCAAAGCTGAAGGTGAGAGGTGTCTCTGCTTGTCCTGGGGCTGAGAGGCACTGTCTGGGAACAGGTGGGCTAACCACACTTCTCTTTGCAGGGCATTGGGGAGTATGTGAACATCCGCACAGGCATGCCCTGCCACCTGCACCCCACGAGCTCCCTGTTTGGCATGGGCTACACACCAGACTACATTGTGTATCATGAGTTGGTCATGACCACCAAGGTGAGCTTGAGCTGAGGGCTAGCAAGAAGGGTGAGGAGTGCTCCGAGGGAGATGAGATGAGGGCTTTGCTGTGATACTAGGATCTATCAGAAGGGCCGTTCTCAGCCTTTCTCATCTATACCGACTGGGCATGTCTGTCACTTGCAGAGTCCTGTTTGTCCGTTTCCCAGTATTTTTTTCCTGGCCTGTGTGGGACATGTTTGAACCTCTTTGCAGTCTCACCAAGTCCAGCCCATAGCAGCTTCTGAGGCCAGGTGGAATTGTCTGGAAGGGGTATAGTCCCAACCTGAAAAGTGCCATGAGCAAATGAGGGAGGGAGGGAGCTGCCATGGCTCTAGAAATGGTGCCCAGGCCCTGAGAGTGCCATCCTGCTACCCTGGTCTTCCCTTTTGTCCCTGCAGGAATACATGCAGTGTGTCACTGCTGTGGATGGAGAGTGGCTGGCAGAGCTGGGCCCTATGTTCTACAGTATCAAACATGCTGGCAGGTCGCGCCAGGTGAGTCTCCTGTCCGGGGTGAACTGGCAGACAGCAGGCCCACTGTATGCCTGTTCTAGTGCAGTGTGTGTGTTTTGACATGGAGAGACCAGGCCTGTGGGCCAGCAGAGGACTCTGGCAGCTGGCCAGCCCTCTGCCTGTCCCTGACCTGCTACTGCATTGCTCCAGGAGAACCGCCGCCGTGCCAAGGAGGAAGTGTCTGCCATGGAGGAAGAGATGGCTTTGGCTGAGGAGCAGCTGCGTGCCCGTCGGGAGGAGCAGGAGCGCCGTAACCCACTGGGCAGTGCAAGGTAGGTGCTGGCCCTGCCTGGCCATGGGTTGCCTACTTAAGAGCAGGAGTAGTGAGCTGTGTGGAGGATCCCAACTTCCCCATGGGTATGCTGGTGCAGGGAAAGGTTGCATATTCCACTAACCACCCTTGTCCTCTCCTGGCAGATCCACTAAAATCTACACCCCTGGGCGGAAGGAGCAGGGGGAGCCCCTGACGCCACGACGCACCCCAGCCCGCTTTGGACTCTAAGGAGGCAGCGCCCATTGCTTTGAGGCTTAAAGACTTCCAGGAGCAGCTGAGCCTTAGGAGAGTGCCGAGCTCCTCTGATCACTGTACTCTGTGATGTGCTCTGCAGCTTGTGGCCCAGGAAGGCTTTGGTTGCTTGGCACTAATTTTGCTACAGAACAGAAATAATTTTATTTGTTTAAAGGTTGTCAGTCTAATTCTTACTTTGTTTTGCGCTGCTTCTTGTCCTGGAGGTGAGTGTTGGGTGGAGGCAGCCCTGCAGAATCGTGCAGGGCTGGTACTGTCAAGTTGTTGCCCTGTAGAGGCTGGGACAAGGCACAGAATTACGCTGACCTAGAGGGCAAAGACAACCTGTCCCCAGCCCCATAGTACTGCCAAGGCAGCTCTCCCGCAGCCCGTGCCCTGGGCAGGCAGCTGGTGCCCCGCTGTCCCTGTACACACACGACAGTCCAGGCCAGGCTGTGCCAGGAATTCTGCTCACCTTCAGCTCCCCACACTTGTGGTGCTGCTCATGTGTTCTGACCATGAGGTATGTGTTTTCTTCCTGCGTCCTGCCCAGTGTGTCTTGAAGATGTCTGGAGGAAAGGCAGCGGAGATGAAGTGATGCAGTGGTGCAGAGACAATCCTGAACTTCTGGCCTGGCAAAGCTTGGGTAGTCCAGCAGTTGTCCATTGGTCCTATACATCCCTGCCAGCAGCCGTAACTGCTGCGTGCGGAGAGCTCAGCCCCACTCCCCACGTTCCCCACTTACTCCTTTTTGTCTGTCAGCTCTGCTGTCTGCTGCTGGATCCTGTGCACTAGTTTCTCATCTGACTGCCTGAAAACAAGGCGTGAGCTGAGTGAGTTGGTATGAGGAGAAGGCAGCCATTTGCTCCTCTCTACTCCGGTAAAGCTTCTCACTCACATCTGCTCCTTCACATACTGGCTGATGTTGACCAGCACTAGCCCCGTCTCCTTATGTGGCCTGCTGCTGTCAGGGCATGCCAGAGCACGGGAAGAGCGCAGGGTTTCTACCTGGAAAGAATGAGCCCCCGTGCCATGTGTGAACCAGCATGTGACTGCTCTTCCCACCATCTATGAGCCCAGGAATGAAGTTGAAACCGGGCGGGGGCTGAGCAGAGGCTCTAGAGATGTCGGTGCCTTGGGAGAACTGCTCTGGAGAAGAACCGTTACCTCAGCACTACTGGTCGTGAACTTCTGTCACAACATGGTAGTTCAATGCTGAGAGGCTTCTTTCTAGCAACGGAGCAAAGAGGGCTAGTTTAAGGAGAAGATATTCAGCCCTGCTGCTGCCAGAGCCCTTGGTGGCCTGGGATCTGCAGTATGGTGTCCCCTGTCCTGTCCTCTCCACCTCTCCCCTGCCTGTTGCCAAGGATCTGTCATTCCCTGGTGCTAGGGGCCCAGCCTGCGCTCCTGCCCTTGGGCTGTGGTGCTGCCTGTTTCTATCCTGCACCTGCTCCTTGGCCTTGCGGAGCTCTTCCTTGAGGAAAGCCAGCTCCACCTTGCAAACAACCAGCTCCTCTTCTTGCACAGCCAGAGCTCGCTCACTGTCCTGGTGTAGCTGCTGCCAGTGTTGGGCTCGTCTGCTCAGCTCCCGCAGCTTCTCCTGGAGGGAATGGGCCTGTTGGTGGCACAGAGAGGCAGTGAGAGAGACACAGGCTGAGTACAGACTCCTGGTGCCCCGTGGGAAGGCTTGGGACACGCTTACCTCCTGCTTGCTCTGCTCCTGGGCCCCCTGCAGCTTCCTCAGCTCCCAGTGGAGCTGCTGCCTCTGCTCCTCGTAGGCTGCAATCATCTCCTCCTGCTTGGCTTTCTCTTGCTGGGCTTGGGCCAGCTCTGCCTGCAGGGTGGCCATGTCCCCCACCTGCATGCAAAGTTGTGGGGCAGGGAGGGTGGTTGGCACAGCCGTGGGCAGGCTGAGGCTCCCCCCCGGGGGCTAGTGCTGCCCTGAAGCAGGAAGGGGCTCTGGCACAGAGGGCTGCATGGTGGCTGGCTGCATCTTGGGGCTGGTCCCGTCCCTGCCCTCACCTGTTGCAGCAGCTCTGCCAGGTGCTTTCTGTTGGAGGCCACTTCTTGCTGCAGGTCTCTGATGGTCTCCTTGGCTCCGCTAAGCTGCTGCAGACTTTGCTGCCTCTGGAAGCGGGTGGCTCCCAACTCCTCCTGCAGCTGAGCCAGGCTGTGCCGCAGGCCCTGGCTCTGCTCCTCCTGTGCCCTCAGCTGCAGAGAAGGCAAACGCGTTAGTGGGTGCTGCACTGCTGTGCTTGTGCTGCTTCCTGCCGGCGCCAGGGCTGTGCCCTCTCTCCTGCCGCCGGTCCCAGCTCGATGCCCACTCCAGTGCTCCTGCAGCACAGGCTTTGCTGCAGGGCTTTATTCTCTCTCTTGAGGGTGCTCGTCCACTCCTTTGCCTGCTGCAGCTCTTGCTGGAGCTTTTCCTTCCCATCCTGCTGACAGCACAGCTCCCCTGGCATGGTAGCCTGCTCCTGCCACTGGGCAGGCCCTGGCTTATCCATGGGGCAGGGGAGAACTGGGACCAGGATGACGGAGGGATGCCCACAGCAGGTCTTGCCTGCTACCTACCTGCTCCCTCAGGGCTTGGAGCTGTTCCTGGCTTCTCTGCAGCTTCTCTGTGGCTTGGGCAGCAGCGTGCGTGTGTTGCAGTGCCTGCTCCAGGGTCACCTGCTGTTTCCACTGCCACTGGCTCAGCTCTGCCTGGAGCCGCACCGCCAGCTCCCTGGGAGCGAGGGCACAGTCCCAGCTGTGGCCGCCCCACACTGCCCTCCCTTGAAGGAGTGGGCACTGGTAGAACCCTGTTTGGGCTCTGGCTGTGCCCGGGACAGCTGGCTTCAGGGCCTGCCTACCTGCTTTCTGCCGGCTCAGCTTTGCTGCTGGCTGCTTGCTTCTGCAGTGCTTGCAGCTCGGCCTCCCCCTCGCAGCTGGCCTTCCCCGAGCACAGGCACGGCTGCTCCTCTGCAGGCTGCAGGATGCTCGGGGCTGGCGGCTGCTCTGTCGATGCCTGAGCTGCTTGAGACAGTGGGGGCTGTCTGGCATTGCCTTCCCCCCACGCTGTCCCATGGCTTCTGCGGGAAGCGGAGCAGGGCTCAGCCCTGCAGCGCGGTTTTGGGATACTTGCTCTTGCTCCTATGCCCCCCCCGACTACCTCCCCACAGGCTTGTGGAGCTGCCTCTCCACCTTCCCAGAACTGCACAGGGAAATGCTCTCTGCCCTGTAACTTGGTAACTAGCGATGCTCCACAAGCACAGGGAACCCGTGGTGCCCACAGGACCTTGCCATCTCCCCATGGTTGCGGCAGGATGGACTGAGTGCTGCTGTAGTGGGTGGACGTGCAGTAACTGACGGGGAGGTGCTGCCTGCTGCCTCCTAGAGCGGTCTCCTGCTTCATCCTCCAGCCAGTGTGCAGTGACCCTTATGGGTGCCAGATGCCTCCTTCCTGCTGCTCTCTGCCATCAGGGCAAGCCATGGGCTCCAGCTCTGGCTGGGCCTGGTCTCCTCAGTGGAGACACCAAGAGCATGGAACCCCAGGGTTCTGGCTGCAGGCTCCAGCCCTCACATGTCCCAGCCCTGTGGCCCTGGATGCCCCCCTCCTTGCCCACCCCACCTTCCTCGGCACTGCTCCGCTCGGCCGCCCTCCCCAGCTGCATGTCCTGTGCCTGGTACTGGTGCTCCTCAGCTGCCCACTTCTGCCTGCAGTGCATCATCTCTGTGTCTACCACCACCTGTGTGAGGAGCACAGCCATGCGCTGTTGGCCGGCTCCTGCCTAGCCCCACGCACCGGTGCTGTGGCTGCCGGGCTGCCGGCACTGACCTGTTCAAGAAGCTCTGTGTGCTCCTCCTTCAGGATATTGTAGCTGGTGTCGGCATGGCTATGGGCAGCCACGTAGGAGGTGACCTCTGTCTGCACCGCCTCATTCTTCTGGCCCTGTGGAGAGGTGCATCACTGACCTGGGGGTACCCAGCAGGGTATGGGATGCCCCGGATTGCCCTGTGTTCCTGCTGTGGAATGGCTGGGGCTGGAGAAGCAGCTAGTTTGGGACAACCCCCAGGCAATGGACTATTGGCGAGGGTCTGTGGCAGCAGGATGCGGTCTGCACCAGGTGGGAGGCAGGATGGCTGCTGGCTCCTGGCCCTCTCATCCCTGTGCAGGCCTCCCCGCCCCCGCCCTCCTCCCCCCCCCCCAATGCCCCCCCTGTTGTGGCAGTGTCTGCTGGACACCTATCAGCCCTGGAAAGGCATCCCTGAGGTCCCTGACCTGTGATAGGGCATGGGCATGGGAGGAGAGCGGTGAGCCCAGCTCACTGGTGAGGCTGTGGACTGCAGCAGTGCCAGTAGCCCTGGGGATGGTGCCCAGGGTGTCAGTGGGGCCACTGGGGGCTGCAGTCTTCCAGCTCTGCTCAGCTGGGTGGACTGAGTCGTGCCAGCCTGTGTCTGGGCTGTCTGGGCTGCTCCATTGAGGGTGCAGTGCTAAGTCCTTGTCCCACATGTGGCTGGCAGGACATCCTCTGCCCTCCCCGGGGTGGGGGGCTGCTCACCAGCTGTTTGCACAGGCAGGGCTGTTGGGCCAGCGTGGTGCCTTGCCTGTGATGGGATGGCTGTGGGGGACACATGGCCAAGGGTGAGGGACCCATGCAATCTGGGCTGTGACCGCCGTGCCCAGCAGTGGTACCTTGCCCATCACCGCCTGGTACTGCTGCATCAGAAAGACCAAGTCCTGGTGCCTTTGCTCCACTGCACACTCGTGCTGCTGCAGCTGGACCAGCCGCTTGTGGTTCATGGCCCTGAAGAAGTCCAGGTGCAGCTGCAGTATTGAGGTCAGCATCTGTGCTGCCTCCAGCTCCTGCTGCTTGGTGTCCTGGCATGCTTGGGGCTCCCCTTGCTGTGGCTCCAGCACCGAGGCTTGCCTTTGGCCCTAGGACATAGCATGAGCAGCATCTGTCTGGCTCGCTGCTGTGGCCTGCCCATCTCGCAGCTCTTGCTAGGCACTGGGGCAGGATGACAATGCTGGCAGTCCAGGTTTCGGTCAGAGAGCAGCAATGGTCTAGACGACTGGTGGGGTGCAGACCCCTCTCCCCAGGCAGCACCAACCTGCGTGTGTGTTCTGACAGTCCCCCTGGGCTCATGAACAGCCAAGCCCCCGACAATGCTGGCACTTAGCAATGCAGTGATGCCAACATGAGCTG